ACACACACACACACACACACACACACACACACACACACACACACACACACACACACGCACACGCATGGACTGACATTACACATTAATGTTGTATAGTGAAAGCGCACCCCGCTCCACCTCCCTCTTATTGTTGTGCCCTACTTTGGTCCTACACATGCGTGTTTAACCCTTTATCCAATCCCTCCCCTTTAACATATACACAGTCACGTGCTACTGATGCTGTTACCACGGCTACAAGGGGAAGACTAACCAAGGAAGACCCCCATTCCCTGGTCCCCTAAAGCCCACTAGTAGCACGACGGGGGGGTACCCTACATTACAGCCAATCACGAGTCAAAGCGAGACAGACCACTCTGTGACCGCTGTTGACCGTCTCGTCTGCTGAGCCCAAGGCAGGTCCCCCACCCCACCCACCCAAACACCAGTCATAACACCGGCTCTGTGTAGATTTCTGATGCTATCTTGTTGATTGGATGGTGACTCTCGCATCATTCCTGCCTGTTACTGTATCCCTGATTACAGTTTGTTCCTGGAATTCACCTCTGAGCTTAAACGAGACTCCAGTAATTAACTGGCAATGTTGGATCTAAGTTGAACTGGCCTGAGCCTGGTCCGTGATGACAAAATCAAAATATAACAAGACCAGATCTTTATCCTGGCGTTCCACTTTATATCACGTAAAAGACAGTTCTCTTTCTAAAGCTGTGTCTCTTGGTCTGTGCTGCTTCCAGAATCCTGGCATGCCAAGAACGTCGTTCTCCATTTTTGGAGCTGTTTCCTTTTGTTCGTATTGTTTTGTTGTTGTGGATGCCCCCCACATCCCTACCCCCCGATTGAACCGTGCCCCCTTGGGTTACACATGTATGCACGCACGCCCTTCCTCATGCGCCTCGGGAGAGATTTTTTTTTCTTCAGTGAAACCTTGAACTGAGCTCAAGCGGTGTTAACAYGACTGATCTGTCTGCATCCGAGCAGCGGATGCTTGTCAGACGGAGTCGGGCGGTTTTGATGTGCGGCAGAGTCTCGTGCACGCCGAGGTGAGCYCCTCAGCGAAGGGATGGGGCTGGGGGGGAGCAAGGTGAGACAGAAAGTTAAAGAATGAGGGAGCAGTGAGAAGTGGAGGAATGAAGGAGGAAGAGAAAAGGACGGAGAGGTTGCCCTGACACGACATGTGATGCTGCTCCAGGACCTCCAGTGAAGGAGTTCTACTCAGCAACTTAAACACCCCCCACCCACCCCCAACCCCGCCCCATGTCACACTGACACACTCACTCTGTGACCTCCCACTTATTGCCAGGAGACATCTCTTGCCAAATGGCAGCTCGTGGTGTGGCA